AGGCCAAGAAAATTTATTTGATAAGCGGGGAAAAGAAACCATAACAGTCTTGATGAATAGATGGGACAAAAGCTAGCTTATGGATTGAGGCTGGAGTTGAAGACAGGAATTAGGACTAATAGAAGCAGACAATCCATCACAAAAATCTGAACAGTAAACAGAAATAGTATAATAACTAGTATTCCATGAAATTAAAGATTACTTTGAGAAAATGGAAACTAGGGGAGGGTTTTAAGAGAGCAGTTCCATTGATAGTGGGGATTCCAGTGGCTTGTATATTGAAGAAAAATGTAGACAGATGACCACATTAATTTTATACAAAAATATTTTTGAAGGGTCATATATTTTTCTGAAGTATACAACCAAGTTTTGTTGCTAATTAGACTTTTGATGCAGAGGTCTTTTCACAGTGTTTGGCATTATAATAGGCACTCCATAATTATGTACTGAATAAATGTAAACATTTTAACACCCTGAATAATGTAAGGAAATACTTGGTTAAGTGTTAACAATCAACTAAAAACATAGGTTAAGATTTTTACTTAATAGATAGTAAAAATTTTTATTGCTTAATAAACTACAGAAAAATACTTTATGAAATATTATACTAAAACAAGTAAACAAATGTAATCACTATAACAAACTTACTGAATGACAAAGCCACTAAGTGGTAATACTAATATTCCAGCAGCTCTGTTACCATCAGGTTAATCATTCTGTCTCTTTATATCATTACAAAGTAACAGTACAAACAGTACATTTTACCACAGAAGCAAAAAAGGAGCTAGCCACTAGGCAATTTAAAATTTGTAGTATAATTGATTGTAAATTAAGATTAAGATGTTCTTGAATCCTGGATTATGGGAAAATTGTAAATTTCTAACATGCTAGAATATTTCTATTGTGAAATTCATATTAGCTTACTGTATTCTGTACACATATTTTATGTTTGCCATATATATGGCCTGTGTATAGACATCTTAACATATGACAGAGTTTACATTGATTTTAATTTTTATAGTTTTCATTTAAAATGTTTTACATAAGCAGCAAACAAACAAACAAAAAATCAAGCCAAGTCCTTGTGGGAAAATACCTTATGTTAAAGAAAGATGGTACTGGCCCACTATCATTAGTAGAGTATGCACTTTCAAAGGGATTTTGACGGATACAGAAGTTTGTAGTAACCCATCCATACTCCTTTCCTCAAGGCTGGCATTTTTAGGATGAGTGGTTATGCTGTTCGGTAGGATCAGAACAGAGTTAAATGTCCTATAAAAACTGAACTGTAATGTTGGCCTAATTAACGATCTTTTCATTATACTTGGCTTTTAGGCCAGGCACATGCAAAGCAGAATTAAAGCATTAAATAACATATTAACTTGTTCACAATATTTCATATTTTAAACAGTCATATTTGGGGCATTTATAATTTTTTAAATGAAATGTTTTTTATCTTTTCAAGACAGACTTCAAACCTATGCAGTATTTAATTTCAAAAAATGTTCATTTTATTTATTTTTATATTTTTTAATTGATTTCTTAAAGAGAGGAGAGATAGAAACATTGATGTGAGGGAGAAACATCGAGTGGCTGCCTCCTGCACATCCCCTACTGGGGACTGAGCCAGCAACCCAGGCATGTGTCCTGACCAAGAATCAAACCAGGACCTCAGTCCATGGGACAGTGCTCAATCCACTGAGCCACACCGGCCCAGCAAAAGATGTTCATTTTAAACTGATTAAAGAGTATCATACATACATTAAGTACTTTCTCAAAGTTAAATCCTTCCTGATTTCTTATGCCTCTACAATATATGCATATAGTAAATATTTAATCAATAATGGGCTTATTACATTATATAAACTGCTCCAGAATAGAAAATGTGTTGGCTGTTGGGTTTAATCATATAAATCTGGCCTAAATCAACAAAAATGGAATAGTTTTTCCTCATATCTGTTACCCACTTCTATTCCTACATTTACTAATAGATTTGTCATTTATTTATAAAATTTTTATTTCCTAATTTAATCAGCCTTGAACCAGTACCATTTTATTTTCTTAATGCTGTCTCATTAACCATACTATTTACATGAAACCTGAATTTATTTAGCTAAGGCTCTTTCAAACTGTATTTGTATTCTTTGGAAAATAAAACAGAGGTAAGGAGAGTCTATGATAGTCACATTAAGTTAAAAGACTCTAAGATATCTTGTAGAAATGAATCCTGAGTTTTCTGTTATGTTTTCAAAACTTTTGGTATTTGAACATGGGATCCCTTTTAATGTTTGAGAAATATAGAATTTGTCCTTATATATTTATACCAGATATGACATCAATCAATTGCAAACACAAAAGCAATCATTCCTAAATAAGAATCAAACTTTCTCTAAGTGAAAACCACATAAGGTGTCAAGTGTCCCTTTGCTACTTTTCCCTTACTTCATCTATAAGGAAAGAAAGAATGGGTGAGGAGCTGTTAATTATAATTTATTCAACACTGGGTTTCCAGCTTATAGCTTCCTAAGCTTATTTCCAGTTTGTTCACTGTAATTTCAAGAAATAAAAAGTTTAAAATGCCCTTGCATATCTGATACAGTAATAATACCATGCTGAAGTAAGTTTGTCACATGGACACTATTGATCAAATTCTGCTGACACAAACTTTTGGTGGTGGTGGGGTGGGAGGGTGTTGTTAAATGTTTGCTACAGGCAGCCTATTTTGTTCCCCAAAAGGATAACCGATTATATTACTTCTCAGAACAATATAAATAGACAATTTTTAAAAGAATTCTAGATAATAGTAAATGTGCTTCTTTCAACAATAGTACTATTTGTTTCAAGGAGAAAAGAATGATTTTTCTGAAGAATCCTAAATCTCACAGTAGTCTCTATCTTGAATTCCCACCCCTATACATACTCTCACACACACACAAAGATACAGACACAAATATTGTAAAACCTGTTGACCTCATATGTATAAAAAGACTCCATAAATGTTGGGAAAAACTCAAGAAACAACAAATGGCATATGCCAAACAAATATAAATTGGCATGTGTTATGACTTTAAAAGAAATTATAGAAAAAAATATTTCAAATAAATACCTTTAAATTATCACAACAGAACCAATAAAACATTAGTAGTTAACTGAGGATTAAGAGGAATATATCATTTGCTGTAGTTCTTTTGCTCTAATGTGGCCATAAGCAAGATATATGTATATAAACTCCTGTGAACAGCTTGTTGGCAGAAACCCAAAAGCATTTTAGATATATCTTAAGTTTGTTTTTCTGAAATTGGCCTCTGCAGACCCATGAGGGTCAGTAGTTAATACCTAAGCATTTTGTTAAAATTTTGTTTTAATTTCAATAATACAAAAAGCGTATCCTAGATCACCTGAATTACTAGCTCATAACTAAACAGTGAATTATTTCAGTACCTAGGGTTGCAATGTGTTGATTACAATGGCATCAAGTAGGAACTGACAACCTAAATTAGTAGTATTGTTCATACCAGTCCATAAACATTTTAGGGCCCTTAGGTTCTAATTTGACAAACATTACCCTCGACTTTTACAAGTATGCTTAGCCATAAATGAAATTCATAACCCTTTTAAAAGTCTAACTTCCATAACATGTGTTAACTTGAATTATTTAATTACCCCCCCAAAAACCCAAAAACTCCTTATAAAAAAAAGTATCAAATTTATTTCAATATCTACTTTCATTTTTAAATTAAAGCTGTTTGACAATTTCTGTAATTTAAAATTCATTACCAGAGATGAGGAAAATAATAAGCTATTAAATTGACAGTGAGTAAAACTATTGAACCATGCATTTATAAAAGCCTCGTTTCATAGTAAAAACTTCCAATTATACTTAACTGAAGGAAATATCCTTTAGCTTTAGCTTTGTATTTCTAATTACAACATTCTCATTTTGACATAATTTATCTTTTTCACCCAATTAATACTATAACGAACAAAAATTTTCCAAATTGTTAAGCCTTTCTCTACCACTTATGAAATGACTCTTTAAGAGTTCCTTAAAATAAATTTGAAATTTTAATTTTCAACATGAACTTGTTTGATCAAAAATTATAGGACATCACTACCACAAGTTAAAACAAAGAAGGGAATAAAAATTAAAAGTAGCCATCTATATAATCAGCAAATTATCAGATAAGACATTTTAACTACTTCACATTTTTTCTTAGCACAAGTAAAAATAAACTGATTCCAAAGTACTACAAGTTTTGGCATTTTTAATGCAAGCTTTAAATCATAGTGTTCTCTATTCAACAAGTCACCTCTAAGTAAATGGCAGTGTTCATAAGTACAAAAATTGTTAGTAGGTGGCATTTTATATAGTCAAGATAAGAGAATTTTTTTATAAAATTTGATTTTTAAAAAGGCAGAATGTCTGATAATTACCAGTGTCTCAAAGGCTAAAATGAGAAAAATGCAGAAAATTGAAGTGCTCATCAATAGTATTTTGCTTTGAGAAAGCCAGAAATGACTCTAAGAAATAAGCAATAATGATAAATGATTTAATTAATATACTATTATCTCTTTTTTAAGCCAAAGCACACTTTTCACCTCAAGACAGTTCTCATAGTTACATTCTTAGTTTCCTTTGTCCAGAACAGGACCACTTTATGGGCCAGAATTTGAAGAGTTCATAACCTAAAGGCATTTTTCTCCACAGGATGTTTTAAGCTGTGAAATGGCAAATGACTAAGTCAGTTATAAAGAATTTATAGCATAATAAATGCCAATTTACAATAACTGTCAATAGACTTCAGTACTGAAGCCTAAAAGTTACTACAGTAGAGGTCAGACTAACATAATTCCTCCATATGCTCAAGCTTTGTTGACTAAATATTGTCATAAATCCAGAAAAGAAACCTTAGGCAGTGGTTCTCAACCTTCATGATGCCGCAACCCCTTAATACAGTTCCTCATGTTGTGGTGACCCCTAACCATAAAATTATTTTTGTTGCTGCTTCATAACTGTAATTTTGCTACTATTATGTTTTAGGCAACCCCTGTGAAAGGGTCGTTCAACCCCCTAAGGGGTCACGACCCACAGGTTGAGAAAAACTGCCTTAGAGGGTCCTTCAAAAGCTGCATAATTTCCCAAATGAGTTTCCTCTGGTTGCAGAGCCTGTTCATTCCTTTAGTCCTTTTTTGGTCGTTTAGCTTTTGCAATATTTTCTTGACGTTTTTGTTTTTTCTTTTGCTCCTTTTCCTTGGCCTCAATCATCTTGGCCAATTTCCAGGACAGTACAGCACTTGCTAGAAACAATGGTGTAAGGGCCAAAATAACTGTTGTAAGGAAGCCATATGGGTCCTTTGCAGCCCATTCCACAACATACTCAGCCCAAGCCTTTAAGTCAAGCATCTTTGTATTGATGTTAGGAAAAGAGGCCTGGGGGAAAGAGAACAAGAAAAAAGAATATGTGGTTAATCAAATTTTGAAAAAGTTACATCAATCAGTTAACTCAGAATTCCATTATCACTCATTAGTTGTGTTGTGTTTTTTTAAGTACTAATTAGTACTATTTTAATAGACTAATATCTCCAGTGAAGGAAGAATAATTCAATTAGTACAAGCAGAAGAGTGACACTTAGATGTGATGGTATAGAAAATAAAAGTAAAAACTATGTGGACTACAGCTATTCACTCTCACATGCTGCCTATACTCAAGATAAACTTTATTTAGTAGCAAACTTTTATAAGAATCTTGAGTTTTATACACTCATTCCAGGAAACAGCTGAGTCCCTTTTGTCATTTTCTTTGACATAGCCTTAGTACTATTAAGTACTAATTAACAAAAATACAAATCATCAAATTTGGTATTTGAAAAAGACAAGCCAGAGTACATGAAATGCTTGGAGAAGGGGAGGTAATGGGTGGCCATTTCCAAGAATAAAAAGAAGAAACCAAGATATTACCCACATTCATATGCAAAAAGATATAAACAAAATGTGACATGCTATTTTATGCCTTCTTTCAGCTTTGAGGACTCCTACTTGAAGATATAATTTAATAAATGAATATATATTTAATAATGAGAAAATTAACCAAACAGGTGCCATGCATTTTGTTTCTTTTTGAGTTGATAAGGGAAGGCCATCTGGCCAATAGAGACAGTGTGGATTTTAGTGTCATTTTTTATTTTGCCCTAGAGGCTTTTCTACCTTTCACATTAACCTCTATTCAAAGTGGAGAATTAGAATACCTTGGCAGGAATGGGTGTATATACACTCACTTACAATTTCAGCTGGGATTTAAAAAATTACCTACCACCCAGCCCGTGTGGCTTAGTGGACAGAGCACAGTGCCATGGACTGAGAGGTCCCAGTTCCATTCCCTGTCAGGGCACATGCCTGGTTTTGGGTTTGGTTCCCAGTAGGGGGCATGCAGGAGGCAGCACATTGATGTTTCTCTCCCTCTCCCTAAAAAAAAAAAAAAAAATCAATAAAAACACATTTAAAAAGTTATAATAAAATAAAAAATCACCTACCTTATGCTTGATTTGTGATATCTAACTTTGTCCTGGGATTATTAGTGAGCCAATTACAATGTCAGATGGATGACCCTTGGTTGGTTTTCTTCTTCTTTAGCTCTACAATACACTTCTGAGAGATTTAAATTCTATATGCTGGATGGGTTGAAAAGAATAGATAACAAAATAAAAATTTTAGGACACAACTTTCAGCATTATTATAACAATCTGAAATGAAAAATTTCTAAATACTACGTATGCAACCTATAAATGCCTGGCACATTATAGATATCTAATATCTCTTTCTTCCTAATTTGAAGAAAGAAATAATTACTACAACTGTAAATGCCTTATAAGAAAATGCTAATTACTTAAGATCATGAATTTTACTAAGTAACTTATCTCAACAATACAATTATGAATTTTATAATTCACTGACATAAAAAGATGTTAGCTCACTGATGTTATAGCATATCCATTTCTAGATCTTGAACTTTTTATACTAAATATGTTAACTATTTACTTATAAGATTAGGTACATAATTACAAAATGAAAACATCTCACTTTACTCTTCAAAGTTTTTTACTCTCTCCCTATACAGGATTCGTTTTCTCCACAGAAGAATCAGAAGAGAAAACCAAACCAAAATATAAATCACCGACAATCCCATCACTCAAGAATTACATCCTAAGGTTTCTTCATATTTTCAACTGAATACACATTAAAGAAACTATATTGTTAAATATCCTAGCTCACCTTCCCACCCCTCAAATTCGTACGCCCCCCACACGGCCGGAACTAGGCTCCACACAGGTCCGCCTGTTTCAACGTCAGCCCGGCAAATGAATTAACTAATGCAAAATTCAGAGACGAGAACTCTTTAATAAGAGTAAAGGGAGAGTGAAGGGCCTGGTTTATGGCAGTGTTAGCCATAAACACAGAGAAAGGAATTATAACCCACAGGCCACACACCTCCCGTGTGCCTGTCACTCTTCAGGAATGAATATTTACTCTTTCCTTCCGTAGGGGGTTCGCCGGCTTATCTCCGGACCAGACCCGCGCCCGAAGCTGTAGCTGGTGGCACCTCACCGCCACCCGCACTTCCACTTCTTCCTTAGGTTCCCCTCGCTCATACTTCCTCCGCGACCCCGCCCGGCCGCCAGGCCTGGCCCCATTCACCCGGCCCTCTGGCCCCGGCGAGTGCGGGCCCGGCGGGACTCGCGGAGCGGCCGTCCCGAGGGATCGGGGTAGGCCCCGCCCCCTCGCGTCCCCGGGGCCGGGGCCGGGGCCGGGGCCGCCTCCGCTGGGCGCGAGAGCGAAACCACCCCGGAGCAGCCCACCGACCGCCCGCGCATCGTGCCCAGGACCTCGGACTGGGACCCCAAGTCGCCACTCACCGCCAGCCGGAAGCAGGAAGGCGGAAGCCCTGGCTTCCCCGCCCCGCCCACAGGTCGGCCCAGTGGGGTCCGGCCTGAGGAAGTCCAGGGGCCAGTTTCCGGCTGCGCCATTGCTGCGTGGGTCCCGGGACCTCGGTTTCCAGGACGCGGGGCGGGGGACGCGGGGCGGGGTGGCCCCGGGGTTTCCGGGGAGCGGCAGGTGAGGCCGTGCGGGGCCGGGCCGGGGCTGGCGTGGAGGCGCGGGTGGGCTCAGGCCTCCGGGGCGGCCCAGGACCAGGCAGGGCTCTCTGCCGTAGCCCCCGAGGCCCGCTTGGGTGGGTGAGGTCTGCGGACCCTGGAAACTCAGGCCCAAGCGGAGGCAGGAAAGGAGTCGGCCTCCACAAACCGCCCAAAGTCGAGGTGAGGGTCCCACGACGACTCTTGAAGGATCGCGGCGAGTTGCTCCTGGTTCACGACCCGCCCTTTGCCCCTCTCATCTTCTAATTGGACAGTAGTTAAAGCCTCGCGTACAGGAGACAGAAAAGCAGTTGGACCCTGGTAGATGCGCTGAATCTTGTGACTAAGAGAAAATGCAGCCGTGCTGTGTGAGGAGGACTTTTTGTTGTTTTAATTTAAGAACGTAACTCATTTCACGAAAGAATGATCGATATTTGTCCAAAGTAAACGGTAAATAATTAAACTGCATAGAGTTTCCACAGAGGCACTTGTTCTTTCAGTACACAAAGGGACGCAAAAGTCAACAAGCAGGAGTGAGTTAATATTGTCTTCTAACCTACAGGAACTGCGAGATTAGCTCTGGTTTGGTTGGTGACCAAATTTTGTGATTGCTTACACTGAACTGCTCTGTTTGACTACTACTGCAAATGTTGCAGGACCTCTTCACTGTTGTATGACAAATAAAGCAGGTATTTATTCTTGAAAGACTATAGAATGTTCTCTTTGAGGAGCAAGCTGTAACATGTATAACTAGTTTAGGTATAACAACAGTAACTATTATTTACCAGGGAACAGGCTTTTGGCAAATAATCTAATGATCTAAAATACTGTTCATTGGGCGTATGTTAATGTTTGTATGTTGTATTAGCAGTAGTTGTTTTTCTTACTCATTTTTGTTTGAAAACTTGGATGATGGTTTCAAAGCTTGTGCTGCTTGGACCTAGCCTGTACCTGTCCTAGCCAGAAAAAAGCTGATTCAGTCACTGCATTGTGTTTACTGAAAACTACTTGCTGGGGGTAACTTTATGTGAATTTTCAAAACTTGTCCAAATAGTAATTCCAGGAGGGTGTCAATTTATTTTAACATCCTTCATTCCAGAGGCCAAGGTGGAGAGACTGTTTCCAGTTACTGTTTCCACAGTAGTTTGCTCTGCTGCATCCCTTGTCAAACACATAGGTGTCCTGGGCCACAAGAAAAAGCACATAAGGAGGAAGCCTCTGGAGCTCTTTGGCTCTAGTGTTAGACCATGCCTTCACAGTTTAGTAGTACTGAGCTAGCTTCCAGTTCCAGGGCAGGCTGCAAGCCCAGGAGTAGCCTAGAGTTGCCACTGCTGAGCTCCTTATTGCAACCTGCATTGCCTTAATGAGAGGTTGTTTCTTTCTGTAGTGAGTCTACTTTCTGTAGTGTGAGTCTTAGTTTGTGGGTTGAGATTCACTTGTCTCTGTGTGTACTCTAAGTCACTCTGAGCCTGTTTCCTCTTCTGTTTGTGGCAAGTGTACTAGGTTATCTCTGATGCTCTGATGTTCTTTCAGCTTTAAAATTCTGTCAGTTGGACTGGATTTGGCCATTTTTCTGACTTATGCTTCATAAGCAGCAGCAGAATAAGAAATTTAGGGGAAATATCTTAGCCAGTTTTCTTAAAGTCTTATTCTTTATTGGAAAAAGCCCTTAATCAGGTTTTAATTCCTTCTCAGATGTCTTTCGGAATACCAACTTATAAGGAAATAAAGTCTGCCTCTGTATATTTTTAAGAAATAGAATTATACCCACGTAACAAGCCAAATTAACTAACCTTACACTATTAATTAAGGAGGGTTTTTCTTTGCATAGGAATTGATTTTAGGGAGAGAGAGAAACATCGATTTTTTTTGTTGTTGTTCCACTTATTGATGCATTCATTAATTGATTCTTATATGTGCCCTGACCAGGAATCAAACCTGAAACCTTGGTGTATCGGGACGATGCTCTAACCAACTGAGAAATTTTCAACCAATTTGCTGCAAGAATTTTTAAAACATGCAATACCTGGCTATTTAGTCAGAGTCACTGATCCCTTAGATTGTCAAATTAAAAAATGACAACAGCCAACACTGTCCATTGTGAATGAATCAAAATTATACCTTTTTTTTTTTTTTTTTGGTCAGATGGGCCACAGAATTTATGTGTGCTAAGAGATGAAAAAGGTTGAAAATTGCTGCTCTATTGCAATTATATTTTGAAAATGGAGTCTTACAAAATTGTAACAGTTTTTTTTTTTCTCTTAAAAAGTTAATTCCTAGTCTTTGTCATGTGTTTGTTTAAAAGTGTTTTCCTTAACCTGGCCAGTTAAGTGGCTCAGAGGTTGAGCGTCGACCCATGCACCAAGAGGTCACTAGTTCGATTCCCAGTCAGGGCACATGCTCAGGTTGTGGGCCTGATCTCCAGTGGGGGGCATGCTGGAGGTGGCTAATCAGTGCTCTCGCTCATCGCTCATCAGTGTTCCTCTCTCTCCCTTTCTCTCTAACATCAATAAAGAAAAACAATTTTTTTTTCAAGTATTTTCCTTGGAGGTACAAAGTTACATTTTACCCTGTCTCATGTCAAAATTGTGAATGAGTGAAACCTGAATAAGATTTCCTTATAATAATCTAGACCTGATTAAATATTTTGAGAGCTTTCTTAGCGGTTCAACATTTTGTGCTTATTTCCCATCAGTAGCACTTCACCTATTTGACTTATTTTAGTAGAATTGGTTTTTTCCCTAAGCTTTATTTTGTGAGTTTTTTTCTTCCATGGATATACAATGTAAATATATTTCTTAATAGGCATATTTATGTGATTAAAAAAGTAATCAAGTTTTAGTTGTATTTGGAAGATCATACTGAAGAAGAATTTTTAAAGCTGGTGAGTTCTTGCTGTGTACCAGATACTGAGCTTGATGCTTTACATCTATTATCACTAATCCTGAGACTAAACCCTGCGGGATAGTATTCTTATACCCATTTTACAGATAAGGAACCAGAGTCTTAAAAAGCACAGCAGGATTCTAAAGCACATCTGCCAAAATCCCTGTTCTTTTTTAATGTCCAAAGACTTGTAAAAAATGCCGATTTCATAAAATGAAAGTATTTTTTTTAATTCTATAATTGTTAATTAACTGGTAATCACAACTAAAATCTTCCTATACTTCAAAATTGCCTATTGCCCAGGGGGTGGCAGCACGTCTCAAAGAGCTGTTGAGGTGTAGAAGGTTCTCTCCCAACCTTGACAGCTGATTTGCCACTCCATCTTACATACATGACCCGTCTACCAACTCTAACTTCTCTGTTGGGCCCTTTCATTATTACACCAACAGATCCGTGATTCCATCATCTCCTTAGTCTTGTGTTCTGAATGGGTCACACTCTGCCAGTTTGCTTTCAGCCTGTTTTGCCTACAAAGGGTCACCAAATTATTATTTTTTAGAAAGTTCATTTAATAACACAAAATTTTTTCAACTATTGTTATTTTTCACTCATCGTTAAATATAATTTAAATAGTTAGCTAATGTTATGAAATACTTGTTTAAATTAGAAGGCATGCTTCTTAAAAACTTATGGGATATACCAATTAAGGAGGTAATGAAACTTTTAAAAGATAGAATTAGTCTTCAAAATAAGTACAAGTAGATTCAGTAGGAAGCAGTGCAAGGTTATCTAATTCAGAAGGAATGCATATAGCAGGATAACTAGTTAGACCTACTTTTGCCAAAAATTGCTTGTAACATTATTCTCATATTTTTGTAGGGCTACTACAGCCTTCCTTCCCCCTCACAAAAGCCCTCTGTACCCCATCACTTTTTTTTTTTTTTTTCACAATGCCTCAGTTTCGCATCTATTTGTTTACTGGTTTATTGTGTTTTCCCCACTGAATTGTAAGTTATATGAGATCAGTTACCCCAGAACCATGAATTTTGTTTTGAATAATTGATTCCAAGTTATAGCATTGCTACTGACAAATGAAACTGTTAGGCCCTGGCTGATTTTGCTCAGTGGTTAGAGCGTCGGCCCGTGGACCAGAGAGGCCCGAGTTTGGTTCCCGCTAAGGGCATGTACCTCAGTTGCAGTTTGTCCCCAGCCCCAGTTGGGGTCGTGTGGATGGCAACCAGTTGATGTATCTCTCTCACATCGATGTTTCTCTCTCTCTTCCTTCCCCTCTCCCTCCTGCTCTGCCTGAAGATAAATGCAAAAATGTCCTCCGGTGAGGATTTAAAAAAATAAAACTGTTAGTGTTTGACCAAATCTTGAAATAATCTAAATCCTAGGAAGTTGCAACGCTCATATTACAGTACCAAACTGTTGCAACAGTTTTGGAAAGTAATA